TTTTAAAGTAATTATAATTTATTAATAAGATTTAATAAAATAAAATTTCTTTAAACTTTACTATTAATTCTTATTTAGATTTTATTTTTATTAATAAAGAGATTAACTATAAAATAACTTATACTATTAATATTTATAGTATATAAAGACTAATTAAATTTTTATTAAAGTAGTAGTTTTAATTATAATAATAGTTATTATTTTTTTAAACTTCTTTCTTTTTATATATTAATAGTTTCTTTATTAGACTTATTAGATAGTACATTTATAAGGCTATAATAGTAAGGGGATAGACTAGGACTAGGATAGAGTAGACTTACTATAATAAGAGAAGTTATTAAGTATTATATAACTACTAAGGGGTTAGGACTAAGTCTAGCCTAAAGGCGAGGGGGGGAAGGTACTTATATTCTTTATAGGTATAGAAATAAAGGGCTTCCTATAAATAGTTAGCTTTATATAAAATAAAGATAGACTAAGGATAGTAAGGGGAAGGAGAAATAAGGGTGGATAGGGATAAGATAGTATAGTAATAAGAGTGAATATATAAAATTAGAGAGGCTAAAAAAGAGAGAGGAAAAAGAACTAAAAGATAAAAGTATTATAGTCTCTATATACTTACTAACTAGTAATAGATTAACTAAATTAATTAGATTAGCTACTAGTAAAGAATAATAATAATAAATTAACTACTAAGTTAATTAATAAGAACTAATATAAGACTATACTATTACTAAAAGGGTAACTATAAGTATACTAAAGATAGGTCTTTATATAATATTTATACTAAAATATAATAACTAGTAGGAGATATAATAAATAGTATAGTTAATATAAATAATAAACACTTAAAGAACTATACTCTTATATAGACTAATAATAGTAAGTACCCTAAGTATAAGCTAAGCGTCTACCTACTTAAAGATATAAATAACTATATTCTTTTATAGCCCCTATATAGAGATTATAAGCCACCTCCCCCCCCCCCCTATTTAAGAACCTACACTCTAAGATAAAGGTGACTAAGAACACCCTAGCCCTAATATAGCCTATATAACTAAGGAAGGTAGTAATAATAAAGTAGAAGATATTAGAGAGGGGGGAAGAGAAGTAATAGAAGGGATAAGACTAAAAATAAAAACCTAAGGATTAAAAGAGGGGCCCACACTAGACCCTACTAGGAGCTAATATAGGGCTAACTACTTATAGTAGAAGTAAAGGTTTTCCTTTAAGGACTCTAGTTTTTCTTTTACTATTAAACTTATAGAGGTACTAAATAAGTAGATTAGTCTAATTAGTATAATATAATTAATTAATACTATTTATATATATTTAATATAATAAGAATATAATAGAAACTATATATAAAAATATTATAAGGATTTAAAAATATAATATTATATTAAAAATACTTTAATTATAACTAAGTAATTTTAAAGTTAATTA